TTTGGTTTCCTCTAATTAAATCATTGATCGATGGGCACTACAGGTGCCGGTTTTACAGCAGCAGTCGTGACACAGTCATAGTTGTCATTAATTTGACTCTGGCCTGCGAGGTGTCAGCTGAGAGAAGAGGTGATAATGAGCAGATCGATGTGGTGTTTTTAATTCTGTCTTTGACTTTAGGTAAGCTTTTTCTTCTGGCTCTCTAAGTCTTGCCTTCACTCTCATCGTCTCTGCTTCTGTTTCCTGCTGTTGATGTATCTCTTGTCAGTTCATCCTCCCTCTGTCTTCTCTCTTCTCTTCTTTACTTCTGAGTCACAGCTTCATTATCGTTTTTATCAGTGTCAGAAGACAGATTAGTTTCTACAAGTGACATGATTGATCTTTCCGCCCTGGGACTCGGATGGCTTTCAGGGGCTGTGTTTGAGTAGATCAGTGTGTGTACTAGTGTGTGTGCTTGCGAGTGATTGTAGATGTGTTATAGTTTGGCATCCATTTCCATTTTTGACAACAGAGGACTTGAGCTGTTACTAAATATTCTTTTGAAGACTTTCAAGTAGACATTCTTTTGTCTCCTTTTTGAACATTAAAGCATATACATATGTCACAGAAGAGGCACAAAATACTAATATGAACATGAAAATGAGCGTATTAACTTTAAAGATACACATAGTAAAAGCATTTTCCCTCCCAACTTTGATTATTTAAGAGAATTCTGTAAAATCGTCGACAGCACACCTTCACCTGCAAAAAAAGAAAATGTACACTCATATTATTAAGTTATTAACTTTCAATTTTCAATGTGGAAGCTGCAAAAAGTGTGGGGTTTGTGCACTTGATGAGATTTGTTTTGAGTTTTTAATATGTCATTAACACAGTTTTAGGCCCTTATAGGTATATGAAATATAAGTAAGGTTAGTACTTTTCTCTAAATTAAAAACCAGTAGTCATCAATCTTCATACATTTTCATTGCATACTCATTTATTATTGTTGTTAATCATACAAAAATAAATACCCAGAGATGTTTTCTTTCTATCAGAGAGGCATCACAAACACAACCAGAGCAGATGGTTTGGCAGGTGAAGCTGTCCGTCCGTGACAGAATGGGTCTCCAGTTTGATGCCACCTATGTGATGCCACCCACCTGGACACCCACACACACACAGACTGCAGAGCCTTGTCTCCAATCCTTATCTCTATATTACTTTTCTTTCTTTTTTCCTTTAATTCTCACCATAAGTTCTCCAAGAAACATCAACATATTCTACACTGTCTCTCTCCTTTCACCACATCATTGTAAGCTGCTTACAAACACAGTAGTACAAGCAGTCAGTGAGTGCAGTATGCAGTGTGTGCTCTTAACTGCACGTCACTCAGTTATCTTGGCTGAAGGCAGCATGTGTGTAAACTAGCCTGACATCCCTGTTGCTGTGGGGTCACAGTACTTCAGCAGGAGAGAATAACTGAGGGTCCTCTCGGCTATAAACATCCTTGCATGGTTTTTCTTTCAGCTGGGCAGCTGAGCTTCGGCCCTGAGGAGAGAGAACATTTCATCATCATGTGAGGCGAGATTGCTACACAGTGTTAATTTCTTCACTTGTTTTTTTCTTCGTCGTTATTTTGCCTTTTATGGAGAATCTGCACACACACTTAATTTCATTAGGCCACAGAGTGATTTACTCTCTACTTGTTTGCCTCCTCTCCACAGTTAGCGTTTCCTCCGTTGAATTTCAATCATCACTGGATGCTCTCTAACCCATTATCACCATAGCAACTGTACAGTTGTTCACTTTGTTTCCCCCAAGCACCTCATCTCACACACACACACACACACACACACACACACACACACACACACACACACACACACACACACACACACACACACACACACAAAACCACCTAGTATGATTGAGGTCTTTTGAATTCATAGTCGTTTGGTGATTCTCTGTTTGTTGGTAAATCAAAGTGATGTCTGGTGGGTAATTTTGCAATTATCCGGTGTTTGCATGTAGTGCATAAATACTCTTTGGTAAAACAAAAAATAGAAATCCTTGATGGAGCATTATTGCATTAAATCACTAAATCAAATCAGCTCTTTAAATCTGTTGGTTGGATTTGGGTTGTTTAAATCTAGATTTCGATAATAATCTGCCATTTTGCCAAACTATTAATCGTTTTACTCGTTTTCAAGCAAAAATACAAAAAAAATAAGTATTGGTTCCAGCTTCGGCAAATCCTTATAAAGTATAACTGACAAACAAAAAAACAAATAAGGTTAGACGGCTGGATAACTGTGTGCTCTGATTTTATAATGGACATTATAACATTTTGAAAAAATTGCAAATGTTTCATGAGGAAGTAGACTTTAAAAACCTTCTCTAGTATACACAGGATGAACCTTGCAGAGAAATGCTAAAGCAAACATAACTTATTGTTGAGTTGGGAAGGTTTGTGATTCACTATTGGTGGTAAAATGGCGTTTTACTGAAGGCATATTCTCCTTTCATTTCCCTTTTCCTGTAGTAATGAAGTGGGCCACTCAAAGACACTTGAGTAGGATGCTTGAAAACAAAGTCTCTCAACATAATCATATCAAATCAAACAAGGATGGAGATCACAGCCTGAAAAATGCTTAAGCTTATGAAGCATCATACGGGTAAATTACACTATGCCCTAGTAGCCACCAATTAGAAGGAGGCAGATGTGAAGGCATCTCTGAAGGGTCGCTTGTCAACCAATTAACCTAATAAATGAGTCACATCGGCCTCCTCACTCTCCCCATCACTTTTTATAGCTATAATATCCAACGAGTAATTAGATATTGTTACCTCTGATGCTCAATGCCTGACTTTAATAAGCAAGACCCGCATTTGACTCATTGTCACTCTGCCCTCATTACCAATCTTTTCCTCTACTTCTGATTGATGTGACCCTCGTTACGCTTCGAGGAATTCGGCAGCAGCATCATCTCGCCTCACTGGAACTAACTTCCCTCCTGGTTTCGCCTCATCAGCTCTGTCTGTTAGTCTCTGCCAGCATCTTTACCCAGCACAGCTTGATGTCCAGTATTGAAATGCCCGGGAGGATGTTTGAAAGAGACAAGCTGAAATGATGACTTAGCAAGTCCGTTTTAGATGTGCCACCCTCCGCTTTTATGCCGATGTGTTGTGTTTTGCAATGTGTGGCTGCTATTTGGCAGTGCTTCAGCTGCATGACTAACTTGTTTTGGATATTTTATGACTGACTGTCTATTGATGATTTGTGAGTCATGTATTCATGCTTCTTGTAACAGACGCTTCCATTACACTTCAGACTGAATATGAGAAGAAAACGAAGAGTAGAAGTTCTGTTGTGTTTCTGTGACCATGCTTTCATGTGCATCTTGAGACAGAGACTAGTTTCCTTCAATATGTTTCAGCCTAAGCCTCCGTGTAAATAGACAGGGCTCAGTCATTGTGCTATGGAGACCAAGCATCATGTTGCATAGTGTCAATCTAATCTTCAGATTCCTTCTCTGCTGGAATAAATCAAAGTACAAGTTTGTATTCACTTGACCAAACGGTTGATTTTAGTGTGGCAGCGTGGGCCATGATGAAAGCTGCCAAGAGAGCTGCCTCTTCAAGTGTTTGAATATTTAAATATTATGCATATTGGTATTCTGTTTGACACGTAATCAAACAAAGAAACAGCTCCTTGATATTGAGTCTCTTGAAACCCTTGAAAGTGCTGCCAGCACTGAGCAAACTTATAATAGTACACTCATAAATGTTCGTATCTTCTTCCTTTGGCAGCGCTTAAAATGCTTATGTGCTAAAGTGGACTTATGGTGTTAGCTGGGTGCTATACTGAGATATTATGGTTCGTAACCTACATTGTGAGTTATGGATGTGCCTTGTTATTTATGTGTGTAGTGCTGAGCTTGTCACATACAATTCCTCAGTACATCTACGTTATTATAGTGTGGGTCTTACAAACATAGACAGTTTTATTGCAGATAATGTTGCAAGAGAGAGAAGCCATTTTAGTTCAACTTTAAAGCTGCAGAGACACACGCAGAACTTCAGAGTGCAGATCAGATTATGTCTTCACACTCAACCTCTCCCTATAATGGGCTGCACTGAGTCAACAGGCTCAGGATGACTGTGAGTGGAAACCCTGCCATTTTCATTTCACACATAGCTCCGAGAAGGAGGGGCACAAAGACAGAGAGACAATAACACACAGTGACAGAAAGAAAACATTAAATGGAAATACTGTGAGAGGAAAAAGAGTTGGCATTGAAAATGAAAAAACATACAGTGCTCACTGTCTAGCACCTTGAAGGGGAAGGAAGTGAAGATAAACACAAATAAATAGAGATCAGGGAGATTATCTGAATCCTTGGTGAAGTCTTTTTTAAGACTTTAATGTTCCCACGGTTCAAAAATCATAAGAATACAGGCCGAAAATGGGAAGCAGAAGGCGGGAGACCCGGGAGAGGGACTCAGGACACGACCACTACGCCATCTGTTTCTTTTTTCTCAAGAAAAGCCTCCAGTAAAGACCGAAGGAAAGGAGCAAAAATAGGCGAGCTTGCTAAGATGAGAACATGCCAATTAGACTTTTCCTGGACCCTTGCAACACTCTGTCAGTCACTCCATTACCACCGAACAACCCCCTCCTCTTTTAAACACAGACTTCCCCTCTACGCATCTCTGTCGCTGCCTCTTTCTCACTCTGCTGCTGTCGTCATGTAAGCTTGGAAGTAAAGGGCATTTCTCAGCGTTGTGCGCCCACTTACCCAGTCAGTGGCCTGTATAATTACACATGAAGACATTCTGACACATTGCATCATGATAGAGGCAGCGCAGCATGGTGGAGGTTTATCCAGCCTCATTTGCAGGGCTTTAATTACAGCTGTGTTTGTTTTGTGGTTATTGTAGAAATTAGCTAACCTCAGCATTCACAATAGTGACTGGAGAAAATAAATTCCCAACAAATGACCCTTAAATTACATGACATGAATACGGTATGTGTTCATTTTTTTTAAAATAATCAAATCCAGTTTTGGGGTTTTTTGGAAACCAATCAGAGCATCAATTCCCCGTTGCTCATCAGCTCGATTTTTACTTTGCCTCGGTGCCAGATATTCAGGCCAAGATAAACAGTTGCTCAGTTATGCTTCTACTGGCACTGCGCGAGCATTGGTGTCTTAATAACAGTTGAAACTGAAACAAGGAGGAAGCTGGGAAGGCTTCCAGGACGACAAGATGGAGAGAACTGACACCAACACAAAAACACCTTACACTTTCCCACGCGCCGATAATGGGCTGACATCGACTTTCCATCTGGAAATGACTTTCTTTCTGGTCCTCTTTGCGTCAGTCTCCTACACGAATGATATCATGAACAAAATGCATCATCAATTAATCAGTCTCTTTAAAATGCTGTCACGAGTTATCGTACAAGGAACAATTCCAGTAAAATGTTATCCCGCTTGTTCCTTTCATTTCTTTAAGAATCAACTATGGTAGATAGAAATTAAAGTGAGAGCTGTTTAGTGAGTTAATGAGGCAAACAGTATTGCATCATTAATCTCTGAGGGAGAGATAAGCAGTCGAATGATGAGCAGATGTTTTAAAAGAGGTCCATTTAAATTCCCATTTTCTCCTCCTTTATATAATGTTATCGCTGAGCCTGCCTTAAGTTGTTCCAATAAACCTAAAACTATTTTCTCTGAATTTAATGTTTATCCAGAGGGCTTTGTGGCCATAAAAAGAAAAAAGGAATTTAACATTTGCCTGGAAGAAGAAACACATTGGAGCAAAACTACTTTTGAACATATTGTCTATTTGAGAAAAATAAACACTTGATACACTTTGGAAAGTTTCTTTCTACAATTGCCGGAGAACACAGATGTACACAAACACTATTAATCCTATTTCAGAGCACTGGATTATTCCTTGATTTCACCTACCATGGTAATCCTAGTTTAATGATTCTATATGGCAATGTTGGGCGTTTTGTCAACAAGTATTGGATGAATTGGCATGATATTAAGTACACTCATTGATGCCCCCCGCACGATGTATTGTCATAAGTTTTGGTGATTCCTCAAATGTTTTGCCAGCTCAAGATATTCCTAACAGCTTGTATTTTTCCCATCTATCTCTCTCTCTCTCTCCAGGACCCCAGAAGCAAGCACAAATTCAAGATTCACACATACGGCAGTCCCACCTTCTGTGACCACTGTGGCTCGCTGCTGTACGGGCTCATCCACCAAGGGATGAAATGTGACAGTGAGTACGCACTCTATCTACAAATACAAAACATATGGTCATTTCCTCCGTGTGTGTGTGTGTGTGTGTGTGTGTGTGTGTGTGTGTGTGTGTGTGTGTGTGTGTGTGTGTGTGTGTGTGTGTGTGTGTGTGTGTGTGTGTGTGTGCACCTGTGTCGAATATGCTGTGCTGGTCTCCCTAATGAGAACAGATGGGAATAGACCTATACTGTACTCTCAGCCACATCTGCAGCCCAGGCAGGATATACAGTTCCATCCTGCAGAGGCCTCTCTCGCTCCCATTCTCTCCACCCACTCTCTTCTATCAACTGTCCCCTTCTTTCCCTGCCTGTATGACCCACCCATCCTGCACTCTATTTCATTCTTCTGTCATCCTACTTCTTCTCTTTCTTCCCTCTTTGCTCTTCCCAATTCTTACTCTGATAATCCTTTGCCCTCTTTTGCTTCTACATACTACTTCTCTGTACCTTCCTTTATCCTCCATCCATCACCCTCCCTCCCTCTCTGCTCCTCTTACTCCATCCATTCATCTGTCTTCCTCGCAGATGGTAATAGAAGCACGCCAGAGCAAATTGATGCAGGGAAGCCATCGCCATCATGACCTTCTCTTGTCTCGTCTGGTCTCCTGTCGGCATGTCGAGGGGTGGGGAGGGAAGAAGAGGGAGAGAGAAGGAAATATAGGTGGTTGGCTGGAAGAAGGCGCACAAAGAGAGGAAGAAGGACAGAGTTAGAGGTTGGAGGGGGAAAATAGGAGGTTTCCTACAATATCCAACCTCTTCTGACACAACCAAATCAGCTCACAGTGCAATATCATTCCTAAGTTCATGTGGTGATTAGTTATTGATGTTTTAGTGCTATACTACAAAAGCAGTGGCTCCTTAAACTACTGTTTTCTCATTCAAAATATACATTACACTAGGGCTGTACCCGAATATCCGAATATTCGTTCGTTGGAGTAGGCTACTATTCGGGTTTCAATTTCGTTATTCGGATATTCGTTTTCGTTTTTTTTGTTGAATGTATTGAAATCTCCAATATCAACGTCAGAGCTTGTGCCTCTTCGGGGGGTGCTAACACTTAACCATAAACGTTATTGTTTACTTTCTCCGACTTTATATGTAGATATGACTTTTTCTCCATTAATCTCCGTCACGTTGTTTCCATAGCAACAACAACTTCCTGTCAACTGCGCTAACTCTCCTTCAAAATAAAAGCATGTCCATACAAAATAGAAAGCCAAGCCAAATTACACTTAAGACATATACAACTGGAACGAAAGAAACACACACAATGCAATATCCTTTTCAATTTCAAAGAACACAAATTGGGTTATATACATTAATAGATAACTATAAAACAACAATACTGTAGAATAACAAAAAGAATGCCGTGAATGAACCGAAATACACGCGTCGAAGCGGTTCGTTGCTGATTACTTCGCACACACCTGAGGAATGTTTCAGAACCACTGACACACAGTGAACAATATGTTATGTTTTCGCAGCAGCTTTCATTTCCTTTCTTTCTGTATTCCTCAAGGTTGAAAACACAAGAATAAAGCTGAAATTGATTTTGTCTGCAATCCCTTTCCACATATCACCATTGTCTGCTCTAAATCCCTCTTATTATGTTTCTCTCACGTCTCACCTCCACTTCAGCTGCATAAGTTCCTCACTGCTCCAGTTTGGTTTTCTTTTTGTTTCCATATCGTACAAATATTCAATTTTACATTTGAATTGCTTGTGGAGATTTCAAGATTCCACAATAAAAGTACAGAATAACATACCACTAACAAAATGTAGGAAATATTAATGAATCTTTACTTCTGATATGCATTTCTGCTCTGATTGCACGTGACCAATCATGTGACCGTCTGAGAGTTTACCTTTAATTTTCCTTTGTAGTCATTGGCTTGATAAATGTATCCTAAAACCTTGATTCATAGTGAAGAACCTCTTTAATCCTGAACCGGCTGTTTTAAGTGAAATTATAAAGTAGTTTGATGAATAAGAGGTAATATGTACACAGATGAAAGCACAGGGCACATTCAGTTCATTGAAGGTTAATGTTTACTGAGTGCAAACCCTGTCCTCTTGTTTTGGTGTTATACAATATAAAAATTGTATTCATTTTGTATTTAATATCTTTCAAGGCAGAGCTCCCTTCACAATGAGAGCTGACTCTCTGTCTGCTGTCATTGAGATCTCTGCAGAATTTTAAGCTTTATTCAGGTTTCTTTTGCCCAGCACATCAAACCACCTCAACTCTGTTTTACCAGTTTCTTCAGAACAGCTTTTCCCAAGAAAAGTGTAATGTGATGTCTTAGATTTCCTAACCTGTCCTCTCTTTATATGAGTGATTCACTCTCAAATGCATACACTGGTATGAGATCCAAAAAGTGATCCACTTATGAACTCCTGTACATTCTGTCTCTTTCCAGCCTGCGACATGAACGTACACAATCAGTGTGTGGTCAACGTGCCGAGCCTGTGTGGGACGGACCACACGGAGCGCCGGGGTCGCCTCTTCCTCAAGATCGAGGTCAGCATGGACAGGCTACACGTCACAGGTAGGTCTTATTTCCAATCAGTGTTTAGTACTCTAGGCCGCTCAGTGTCAGAAGGATGAGTGAAAAGGCTTCTTTATGTTACTCAAGTGGTCGATTTCCAGACCATTGAAAGAAATCTTGAGTCATACGAATCACTTTGGACTTCTACAAGTGGCTTCGACTAGTGTTAGTGAACTATGGTGGTAACTCAATCGTTAACTAATACGGAAAGGATTCTGTGTGTCAGTGCAGTCCCTTCAGATGCTTCGTATTGACTTTAGATATAAAAATCAACTGTAATTCTTCATTTTAAATGGCTCAACTTGGAGTTTATACTCTGATGGCCTTTTCCCCATTTCCTACCAACCCAACTTTCAGAACACTTGCTCGGACCACACCCATCTTCAGCCTTGGCCTTCATTTTGATCTCAATTATACCCCTGTAAAGTTTTGTGACACCAAATACTGTAGGGCCATGGGCGTAGAGTAGGGTCTCAACTACACCTAAAGTGACTGCATCTTGCACGGTTGTGATGCTCGGGTGGTGACAAAATCTGTCCAGACATACAGAAATATAAACACCTGGCAATGTACTCGAAACCTCCTCATTAGGAATTCCTGCTGCAGTGATTGTCTTCAGGAGCCATTTTTGCCCTGATGACACACACACAGACTCACAAGATAACAACTATACCAGCATCACTGTGTGATACAAGTTACTGTATGACTGCAGATAGAAATGATCTATTAGCGAAAATCTTGCATAAATCATCTCTTCTCTTTTCTGAGATGAATGTGTTTGTATGCATGGTCCCTGTTCAAATAAATACATAAGTGTTCTGGTACCCAGCAGAAATGTAATGTGCATGCTGTAAAGGTCCCACTTTTCAAAGCAACATGCAGTAAGCTACTTTTAATGAAAGAAAACGGACAAGGACTCCTGCGCACTAATGATTAGGCATTGAGTTATTGTTGGAGGTTTTACCTGCAACAACAGAAAATAAGTATTTTCAATCTAAAATTGTTACATCATGAGAAAAAAAATTACATCATCTGTGTCAGCATAAAAAAATGCTAAAGTCCTGACTGCCTTTGTAACCTGTGTGTCCCATGTGTGTCCCATGTGTGTGTATTTTCAACACCTCCAAATTATCCTGTCAGTCAAGAGCAGCACCTGGAGTGGACAACTCTCAGCTGCTAAAACCCCTTTGGCAGGGAGACACACGCACACGCACACGCACACACATACACACACAAACACACAAACATGGCCAGATAGTGGAGGCCCGGAAATATAAGGGCTGAGGCCAATAGTGCCAAAAGTATTTTTTATTCAGTGAGGATACAACCTCCAGCTAGAGTAGGGACCAAGTGTTAGGTGTGATTGAATTGAAAATATATTGCTTTCATAAAAATGTGTTTGTGTGTTTAGAGAATGAAAGGAAGCTATAGTCAGCTTAGGGCATTAGCTCGCTCTGTTTTTCAGTTTTAATATATTTCATATGTCATTATGTTATCCAGCTTTTTATTGTTTAGCAGTGCCTGATATACATCCTATTTGTTATGTGGTGACCAGCCTCAGCAAAACAAAAAAACGAGGAATGCTACGTTGTTAGATTGATGTGCGCTCTGGTATTTCCCTGGATTTTCATGCATTCACCCACTGGTGTCCTGTGTTTATGAAAGTGTTGCTTCACACTGTGCCAACTTCAAGGAACGATGCTCTGCAGCACCTTCTACTGGCATACAGTATGTGGTGTCTGATGTTTTAAAAACAAATCTCAGTGTTTGACGTATGTGTCTACTTTCCATTCATCAAGCAGCGCCAACACCAATTCATCTGTTGATTATTTTTGCAATTTATCCAAATGTAATCTAGGCAACAAATTGTCAAATAATTGTGACAAATACCCATCACTTTAATCCAATGCCAAATGTGACATCCTTAATCCGCTTGTTCTCTTTTGCTTAAAGTCCAAAACTCACTCAATTTATGACAGAAAACGAAACAGAAAGGCAGCAAATCCTCATATTTGGCAAGCCTGAACCAGCAGGTATTAGGGCATCTTATCATCTTATAAGATAAATAGTTTTTAAAAATACTGTAAATGATTAGGTGTTGGCAAACTCATTGATACATCTCTATATAATGCTCACTTACTTATTGTGAAAACAGCTTTGATTACATTTTTTAGCAACTTGTGGGTGTTATACGAGTTACACATTTCACAATAATTTGAGATATTCTGATTTTTTCTTTTTACTTGTGCAGCTTTAAGCTTCAAGGTCTTTATTGCAAATAGAGAGAGGAGGTTGAAGTATACCATCTTTCCTTGTATTCTTTAAAAAAAGACATGTGAAGTAAATGTGTATGGTTGCAGTTAAATAAAGGGTTAGTAGTGTATTGATTTTATAACGAACGACCACTTGAGACATAGCATGTACAGTAGCTGACAGAAAGAAGAAGATAGAGGTCCATACTGAGAACAATGGAGACACGGCAGAGGAAATGTATGTTCTGCTTCTGCAGTGTTTTGTTTTTGTTTTCTCCTCCTCTCTAATGGCAGCGGTCTGAACAGTGCAGCCTCAGCTCGTTCCCTCGCTCCCCCCGGCTCCCGCAGACAAGTGGCTGCCTGTGTGGTTCACCGCCCAGATGGGAACTTGATTAAATGTTTCCAGCCAAGAAAACAGACGTATCTCATTCTCCAGTTCTCTCTCTCTCTCTCTCAATATTGACATTTCTTCTTATCATCTCCTACCTGTTCCTTCGAGACCTACTGTATGTCTTCCCCCTTCTTGTCATACAGTATATTTTTCCTCCATACCTACTGAGCTCCTTACCTTCCTCCCTTTTCCTCCACAGTAAGACATCTACAGCTGGCCTTGCTCTGTCTTCCTCTCTTTTCCTACCAGCTGAAAACGTTTCTCAGTTGAGTGACTTGTCCTTACCCTTCTGGCTCTAGTCTTCTTCTTCTTCTTCTTCTGCATCCTCTTGTCTCTTAGGCTCTACCTTGTTTGTTCCTTTTTCTATTTTTTCCGCTAATTACCTCCTCCATCCTTGTTTTGCTACTCTTCATGACCAACGTGTCTTGGAGCAGAAGTGACATAAACAACCTGTGGCCATGAGCAGAGGTTCTTTATTCTTGAGGTTTAGTGAAAAGAAAACATGCAATTTTCCCTGCCTACACACACACACACACACACACACACACACACACACACACACACACACACACACACACACACACACACACACACACACACATACATACATACATACATACATACATACATACATACATACATACACATACACACACACACACACACACACACACCCACACACACACACACACACACACACACACACACACACACACACACACACACACACACACACACACACACATACATACATACATACATACATACATACATACATACATGCTCAGACACATACACACACACACACACACACACACACACACACACACACACACACACACACACACACACACACACACACACACACACACACACACACACACACACACACACACACACATACATACATACATACATACATACATACATACATACATACATACATACATACATACATACATACATACATACACACACACACACACACATACATACATACACATAGGGGCATATGAGGATCGGTACAAAGTGAGCACACAGCGTTTAGTCAGGGTGAGATTTTCTCCTCCTGACATGTACGCCTCAGGTTTGAAGCACAGTTGAACAAGAACAAAAATGTTCCCCCCCCAACTGACGACAAATGATAGTACCTTCAGGCTTGTAGAACAAATATGCACTTACTGTAATATCTAATATTACGCTTCTTTAGCATGAGGCTGTTGACAAATGTGGCAAATTCTGTATGTGTGTCTGTAACTAATTGGGTCATAGGACTTGGTTAACACAAATGCGTCAGAAAGAGTTTATTTAGATGAAGCAGTTACAATCATACTGTCATACTACAATCATATATGTATTGTTTATATTTATCATTTTATTGCATATATTTATATTTCAATGTGTTGATTCACGGTTATGGAACGTCCGTTGGAGACAAAGACATTTGTAAAATACTCAAAAATAACATAATTTCTTTTTTTAAATTATTATTTTATGGTATCTTCTGTTTTTCTTAAATGTATTTAAAAGTGCTTAATAATTCAATGTATTATTATTATTATTATTATTATTATAATTATTACATTTTTTTCTAATACATAAAGGTGTACATTTATTATATGAGTATACTGAGTATACATCTGAGCTTGAGAAATACATTTTTTACTTGATTGCCATTTTGGCTGTTTATTGCTTATAGAAAGTTCACTGTAAGTGCTCAATTCATTTTATTTTAAGCGGATTTAGGTGGAACATTACACAAGCCTAAAGCATCACTTTCTAATTAAGCTTGTCTCCTTTATTGAGGACCAAAGCCCTGTTGAACGAGTGTTGAACTCCTAATTGCACTTCCTTAAAAAGACCAACACCAGAAATACAAAACATATGGTAATTTCCAGCATGTTGGTGTGTGTGTGTGTGTGTGTGTGTGTGTGTGTGTGTGTGTGTGTGTGTGTGTGTGTGTGTGTGTGTGTGTGTGTGTGTGTGTGTAGGCTTGTGGTAGAGCAAGAGAAAGGGAGAGAGAAAGAGAGAGACACACAAAAGGCAGGGCGGCATATTACTGTATCTGATATTTAGTGAACTATAAGGCAAAGGCATCACATGATGAACAAGGTAAACACTTCAGTACGCCTTCTTCTGTCAGAGTGAGAGACCCACACTGCCCTCCACTGCATCAAACTGAAAGAGCATTACTAAATGTCAAGTATTACTATACTGTACTACAACTCTATTGTCCTTCATGTTTAAACTTAAGTAATGTTGTTGTTTTACTTGTATCTTTCCACAAGCTTTACATAGTCTAATTTGAATGACATTGAAAGCATGATGCTAATATTTTCATTCATAGTTCTGACTTAATTCTACTTTTTTCATCTATTTTCTCTATTTCTTCTCCATTCTTTACTTATTGAAAATAATATACAATCTGTTTTTTCCTTCAGGAGCAGCTTTTTATTTATTTATTTTGCTAAAGTCTCTCACACAATCCAAAGAAAAATGCTCAAAATAGAAACTGTTCATTCTACTGCAACTAATTATTATATTATTATATCATTTGGTCTGTAAAATGTCAGAAAAAAAACATAAATATATATATATACTGTTTAATGACATAGAAGACTGAAAAACCTGTGCAAAAATGGACATTTAATAAACTACAAAAATCAAATTGGAGGCACATTTACCTTAAATTGACTCATGTATTATTGTCTACTGTTTACTCCAATAGTCTTCATTTCTATTTATCATAATTGGTATTCTGCTTGTCAGTTTCTTTTCATCATTTATAACTCTTAATCCCATTTAAGCATGTTGCCTTAAAAATCAACAGGTGTCTGTCAAAAATAAATCCAATGAAATCTCGCTAACAATGATCTGCAGTGACTGTCCTTTCTTACGCTTTGCACTCAGCCCTGAAATATTTATGCTTAGTTTGCAGTGGCGGATGGGCCGGTACCGAAGTGGGCCGGTCGGACAATTCACTAGCGGTACTGACAATTTGTTGACAATTTACTGGCGGTACTGAAGTGTGAAGTCGAGATTCCCGGGTTGATTTTTAGTCCCAGTCCGCTCCTGTTTGTTTGTGAGGAAACATTGCCACTGTTTTAATGAAGAACCTCAGCGAATGTGTCGGTGTGAGCGTTCACACTGACTCCCTGAAACATGAAGATTTCAGCCTTATTTCTCTCCTTGTTCACCGTGTCTGATAATATTTAATATAAGCATAGCAGAGAGCTGATAATAACAGCTTAAGAGGATTCAATGTGATCCTGCTTCTACTCTCTGTTATAGTTGTATTGTGTGTCACAAACTAAAGGTGGGTTAGCCTTTCTTTCCTCTTTAAGTTATTGATTGAATCATGCCGTATGAATCTCCTATTGCTGACATTTTGCTAAGTGGGGCAGGCGGCCCATTGGCCACTTACAGTAGATGTTGTCGCCATGGTGAGGGTTCCATGCTCACGCCATCTTGCCCCTCCTACTCTTGTTGCTATGTAACAGCACTCCTTTTTTCTCTCCATTTGGCAGTTATCACACTGGGAAATGTCACGTGTCCTTCACATCATCTGCACTGCTTTTACCTGGCCATGTGAGAGAGAATACGCCACAGGGAAGGAGAGTTTAATTACCACCTGTCATGTTTTACAACTTAATTTGTTACAATGAGTCTGAGTACACAGAGTATTTCTTCTTGTTTTTGTTGATTTGTCGTTTGCTGAGCCCTTACACCCACCAGTGTTGTAATGCCATTTTCACAAGTGAATTTTGACAGTTTGTTTTGCCTCGCTGCACCTGTTGTCAGCTTATGAGGTGTCTGACTTGATGAGTCATTAGTTGAGTAACTGAGGACAGAAACACTGACATGTGTCTATCTCAGGAGGACTTTGTCATGATTTGCCTGGCCCTGGTTCTTTGTCCTTTCTCACCCCCCTCAGGCCATGTACTCTCCTAACATCCTCAGAGTATCCACCTGATGCCCTCAGGCTCTCTCACCAGTCATCGGACGTCCCCTCCATCCTAAACACCTGTTCCATCTTCTCTAATCAGTTCTGGCCCCCTCCTCACCTGCATCTTGTTCCCTCTCTGCTCTCTCCACATATATGAGGCCACTCCCTGTGTTCCTTAGTGAATTCATCTCAAGTTGCACTGTTTCTTTTGCCTTTACGAGTTACATGTCTGCCAGTTACCTGCCTATAATCCTGCTTTCTGAATATGAGTCTTATTACTGTTCTCTTATTCCCCTATCTGTATCTACAGACCTACTGTATGGTGAAATAACAAAACTATAATATTCCCAATGCAATTTTCAATTAAAAAAAATTCCTACACAACTTTTTTTATTAGTATAGGTATATCACGACTTGTGATATTGTATTTTTGCTGATATCCGATATATTTTCCACTCATTTTGGCCGATTTTGATTTCCCAAAAAGATTTTCGCACATGTTTCTTTCAAACTAATTGCAGACAAGTCATGAACCTTCCTGTATGGGAATTAGCATGCTAGCTCTCTTTGAGGTGGATTTTAAAGGCCTTATATCTGCAGACACCAAGGACGTTTCAACATTATCGTGCATGCCTCATTTTGCTTTAATAAAACGACATATGTTGAAGTGAAGATACAATAATACTACAAATCTGACCATTAGCTTATGGTCAAATCCTCCATGCTACAGACACATTTGTATCTGTAACTTGCATTACATAATATATTTATATTTCCTTGAATTGTTTTGCCAGTACGGTTTAAAAATAAACTTGCAAAGACTCAAGTTGTACCTGGGATTATTAATACACACATATGGTACACAGAGGTAATTTTGCCTGCACTGAAGCTCATATATTTTCTGTTTGCTGTTCGGCCTTGGAGTGACTCGCAGTGACTCACTCCTCTATCTCTGACCGTTTTAACCCCTGAGACAGTGTGGACTCTCTAAATCTGGCCTGTGGCTCGAGAACACACACACACACACACGCACACACACGCACACACACGCACACACACGCACACACACACACACATACACAGACACACACTCACTAACTTATGGTGACATGTTCACTCTTTCCATCTTCTAGTGGGCGAAGCCAGGAACCTGATTCCTATGGATCCGAATGGTTTATCGGACCCTTATGTTAAACTCAAGCTCATCCCCGACCCAAAGAACGAGACCAAACAAAAGACTAGGACCATCCGCTCCTCTCTCAACCCCTGTTGGAACGAGTCCTTCAGCTTGTAAGTCAACAAGAGTGTCTAACATGTTGTGTATGTTTATTTATGAGAAGGATGATCATTTGGCAGTATCAAAGGAAATAGAATAAAAAGGTACAAAATGAGGGTAAATCCTAAAAAGATCACATCTCGTAACTCGCCCCCTGTCTGTGTGTTTTTCTTTTGCAGTAAGCTGAAAGCATCAGATAAGGACCGTCGTCTCTCCATTGAGGTTTGGGATTGGGACCGAACCACCAGGAACGACTTCATGGGCTCCATGTCGTTTGGCGTGTCCGAGCTCATCAAAGCTCAAAACTGTGGATGGTCAGTCGCCTTCCCTCGTCCCTGTGTTGTAAATCAATCATTTATAAAGGAATTTCAAGCATGATTTTACAGAAAATAATGAATGTTAAAATGACCATTTATTCAAACTTCCAAGACTTCGAAAGGAAGAGTTAGTGTTAGTAGTTTTTATGATATTTTAAATACAGTAAAGGTCACATTTCTGTAAAGGGCTTTCAAGGTCAAATTGTCTGTTAACGATTGGTCCTTTACAAATTACATTTTAAATCATTTTGCAGTCAGAAACATAAATGATATGCTAGAGTAGGTTAATGTGGTTCGAGCAGACTTGACACTGGCCTCCACCATCCAACCACTTTCACTATGAAACAGCTGCACATTGTGTGTAAAACAGACGTAAACACTGGACTCCATTCACTCTGACAAACAGAGTCATTTCCTCGTCCCTCTGTCCTTGTCTGCCTGTTTTGTCTCATACTGTTAAACACTTACACTCATATTATGTCCATGTTAGCATACCTGCTTCCACCTAGCCTAAACTGAGCCTGCTCAACAGTTGCTTTATGTTACAAAGCTTCAGGAAATACCTGTATCTCGTAAACTATTACTGTGAGTGTTTACCTGCAGTATATATTCTCCGGGTCATTAGACAAGTGGCCAGAGGATGTGTTTATTAGAGATGAAGTGTAGACATGCAAACACTCAGAGCAGGGGAATCAGCTTCTGATTATTGAAGTGGTGTGTAAAGTGTTATGGCACAGAGGAAGAAATGAATGGGTTTAAATGGAAGCAGATAAAATATAGCTTCACTTATTTATGTTTTTCTTCTCCACCTCAGGTACAAGTTGCTGAACCAGGAGGAGGGAGAGTATTACAACGTTCCCATCCCCGAGATGGACGACGTCAACCTGGAGCTCCTACATAAGTTTGAGGTGAGGTCGACTGAACTACCAAGATTCAATAAAAAAGTTATTTGTCGCACATGTACAAATGTATATTGTACACATTCACTTCTTCTCTCCTGTCACCATGGAAACATCATCCTGTTCCCAGCTTCACCCTGCGGTTCAGAGAGAGAGATCACATCTCCTGGAATTAATAAGTCAATGGAAAAATAGGAAACTCCCCATTATGTGTATACACTACAAGGTTACAGTCGACAAAGGAAGAGCCTTATGTAAGATGTGTAGCTGCCGTTAATAATTGATCACCCCTTTCAGTGGAAACAGCAAAGGGCAGACTACTTTGTTTACGTCGGGAAATTACTTCTTTTAAATAAGTCATAATTATTTAATCAGGAGAACAGTCTGAATGAGGTCTAGAAAGGTTTTCTGCTGTTGTTGTTGAAATAGCAGCTTTAATGTTGTGTTGTGTCTCCTTGCCCTAATTGGACTCTTATGTAAAGCTGTTCCAAGCAGAGGACTTCTAATAGCCAAGACTAAAACAACACAACACAGGATGTTAATTCAGACTACATTTCCATAAAAAAACAAGTATACCAACTCTACTCATTTCAGTGTTGTAATTTAAACTTTGTAATTATACAAGGCTTAAACTAATAGTGTCCTCCTTTATGATAAATTCCAGCCATGTTGTGTTTGTTTCTTGGACCACACTGGTCTGTTTGCATTTGTAATCTTATTTGTTTTAATCTTTTATAACTTACATTACAATTGTTCATACAATCTTTGCAGAACAGCACATTATTACTGTTGTATACTGATTTTATTATTAAGTGTGTACTCGGATGAAAACAATGTTTATCAAATAATGTAACTTTGATTTAAAAAAGTAAATACAATGGTGACTGTGATACCTCCAATTTAAAGCTTAAAGACTTAAAAACAAAACATGTTGTTGCTGTATGGACATCACAACTTATAGCTCTGTAGTAAAGTGTTTTCTTTGAAAATGTAAAGCAACTTCATGTAAAAACACATATGTTTCTTTAACCAAATCTAATAAAATATATAATGCAGGTAACTCTTGCTCTCTAGTGGGCAGCCTGTTAACTGCAGGGAGGTTTTTGTTACATCAAACCATCTGTGCTTTAAATAAAACTCGTAAAATCTCCATATCACTAACATGCAGGTAAAAGATGGCTCATATAATAAAAACACATATGGATGCAAGAGAGCGGGGGTGGTTTTATTAAAGTGTGCATACAGGTGTTTTAATACTGAGTGTAAATGTAATCTTCTTTACAGCAGCCCTCAAGACACTTAAGTCTTATTTTTTTATTTTCCGTTTCACTCCATAATGTGACCTTGACTTTCCTCTGAGGCTATAGCATCTTCAAGCATCTTCTGTTGCCAAGGAAACCTGGGCAAGACGCAGCGATGTAACCAGATGTGACAGAAAAAGATGTACTCTGTTCTCCAGTCATGCATTTGATCATTTTATCGTTCATATAGATAAATGATTTCACCAAGATAATGACTTATCAAGCCCACGTCTGTCTGCTGTCAGCTCCCAGCTCATCATGCTAACACCAGCTAACCTCAGGCGGCTTCAATAAATGAGTTTCTTCTTTCTTCTAGGCCTGCCAGTTAAATATCCACTATCTCAAGGTAGCGCTTCTGCCTGCTCCGTCTCTATTTCTTCATCACTTTTACTCACTTTAATTACCGTATTAGGATTGTTTGTGGACCTCCGTTGGGCTTCCACAAATTAATCTGATTTACTAACAAAGGCTCTCAACAGTTTATAGATGCCCAATTTGCTTTCTGTTGTGCACACATTTCTGTAACTCATCACACACTTATACACCATCTCTCTTCTCCTTTCTGTCTCATGTTTAATGACAAATATGAAACTGAAGGGATTACATTTCATTCTAATACAAAGGAACAATTCAGGCCTACATGTTGAGGATGATGCATAAAATCAGCATCAGCAAGTCTGAAATTACAGGGAAAGCAGCAGCACAGAAAAAAAAGAAAAAAAAGAAAAGTGTACCTTTAAATATGGATGAATAATTAAAAAAGTGCTGCATATCCCTTTACCACACAGCATTGTTGTTAGTAAATATGTGGACTACTCCGTCCTCTGTTGGTCTCACCACCTTTAAAACTCTCACTGTGCTGTCATTGGCCAATAGAGCTTCAAAGCCGCTCCTCATTGGCTGACAGTGTGGTCCACAGTCACCCCTCTAATAGTCCTGCTTTAGTCTGGACTATAGAAGGCTGACAGGACATGAAGCATGGACGGGCACTTATGCACTGTAGCTGTCTGAATGAACGCACACACAGGCAGGTTCCTTCTGTTGTTGGTGTGCATGCCTAATCTCCCCACACGGTGGCAGTGTTGTACTTTCCTATAATGTGTTTGAATTCAACTTTGTGTGGCAACTCTCACTTAAATATTCCAGCACTTTGTTTGTGTTGAAATGGGGTGATGTCGTTTTTTTGTGTGACATTTTTATGATGTGAATTGTTAGTGTTTTGTGTTGTCAAAATGACCACTAAGGGGGACAATAGAACATGATCCGCCCGACTATTCAAGTGTCTCCTTGGGAGAAAACTTTAATACAAGACAAAATCAATAACAGCGATGTGTTTACTGGAGATATCAACCTTGACATGCACTTAAATATCTCCAGCTATAAATTTGACAAATACGGATGTAAGAGCATCAGCACTTTGGTATATAAGAATAAAAAACGAGCCGTAAGCAGTTAACAAAAAGAAAAAGTATACAAAAGCAGTCCCAAAGATTTGTGTCAAGTTATTAACTCAACAGTTTATTGTAGGATGTTGGTGAGGATCTGTAAACCTGGCTAGTATTGCTATCCTTGATAGTGCATTGAATTGTGCCTTTTATAAGAAGAATGTAAACCTATTAGGCATCAGGGTACTGCTGGTTTTTATTCCAGCTGTCTCCTCTTCGACTTAATGAAAGTCGAAGAGGAGGTGAAGCTAATGAATAAATTACTCGGTAGCAGGACCCTGGTTGAACTCCTTAATGTTGACATTATTCTACTCTAAATAGACCTAAGGCGTACATGTAGAGCCACTCAACCTCGGTCACAAATATAGAGAAATGGTTGGCGTGGCAACAGCCTCTCTGTGCCCCACTAGTTCCTGTTTTCTGTATCTGACCGAAAACAGACACCGGCTGCAGCGGCGATGGAGCTGGAAGAGTCCTAATTGCACTTTTAGTTCAAAGACGCTTGGCAGGCCAGTCATTAAAACAACAGGGAACCTTGCAATGTTGGCTCCCCCGACCAGGACTGAATGCCCACCCCACAATTGCACAAAACACCAGAGTAGAGATCCTGCTGAAATCCTTACTGAAAGACACTTGCTTTCATTCTGATTAAGTGAATATGAGGCGAACCAGTTTTTGATGATGGTAAGAGATGTTAGCACCAATAGCAAATGAGAACGTTATTACTGGTAAACAATAACAGACTTGTTCATCATTTATTAAAATCTAAAGTAATAACATGCTAAATCCAGTAGAATTATTAAATTAATAAATGTAACACTTAACCAATTTGGTGCAAAGACATGATGTATCATTTTAACTTTATTGTTATGTTTGAAATAATAATGCAGTAAATATATATGTAACACTTCATTGTGAGTTTGTCAGTGACAGCTCCAACCCATTTTGAAGAAATAAAGTGTGTTTTATAATATTTTAAAAAGCTTTCGTGGTTCTTACATTATCAATTGTTAATGCTATTTCTGATTTAAATCATATAGATTATAACTTAGAAAAACAGCAGTACAACACACGATCCTATTGTGCTTAAAAGCTGAAGAGCAATATTGCTAAGGAGAAAAAAGCAACCAGTGATTAAGTCCTGACTGATGTGGCAGTCTGTGACGTGAACACACACCCACATGAAGACTAATGGCTGTATTTGTTCATGTTAAAACATCAAACTATGTAATTAAATTCCTTTTAAATTTGACTTCAATGCCATTTCCACTGTTGTACACCACAGAAAGCCAAGCTGGGCCACGGTAAGAAAGTGATCACGCCGTCAGACCACCGGAGGTTCAGCCTGCCTTCGAGTAACATGGACCGCATCCGACTGAGTGACTTCAACTTCCTGGCCCTGCTGGGGAAGGGCAGCTTCGGCAAGGTGAGAGCCGTCACAGAAACAAACTTAGAGGTCCCCTATCATACTGTTTTCATCAATATATTATAGGTCTCAGATATATACAAAACATGCCTCTGAAGTGTTTGGCACGAAATTCCAAACAGATTATGTATTGCAGCATCCCATAATCCCCTCTGTTTCAGCTCTGTTTCAAAAGTGCTGATTCTGTGTATGTTACTTTAGATGAAAATAAGGAGCCCCTCCCCACGCCCCTCTGAGAGATATTTGGTTAAAAAGAACACAATGGTGCTCTAGGAGGAGATGCAGGTGATAAGGGGGGGGGTTACCTTGGTTGGTGATTGGCTAATGGTTACAAAAGGCCAAATAATCGTTATGACATCATAAAGTGGCCAAATTCTGATCTGCTCATTTTCAGACAGGTTTTTATTTAAATGGATCAGGACAAAAAGTGAGAGAATCTTTTTTCCTGAAATTTTCAGAATCTCTTTACACAGAGGGGACACATGTTGATGTTTAAATAAGTGACCTTTAATTTAACATCATCTGTGATTAAACTCAAGCATTTATTCCTTGTATGTGTTATTTTACCATCACACTAACACAGGAACAGTTGAACAGTGTCTTACTATGGAAACATCACTTATTGATTAACTGTTTCCAACATGTTTTCTTATTCCGTTTTTAAAGCTGTGTTAAAATACACCTTGTTTTCTGTTTTAAAATCAATCATTAATTTTGCTTCCATGTGACCTTGGGTGTCTTCATCATCTGCAGGTGATGCTGGCAGAGATGAAGTCGACGGAGGAGCTGTACGCCATCAAGATCCTGAAGAAAGACGTGGTGATCCAGGATGATGACGTTGAATGTACGATGGTGGAGAAGAGGGTCCTGGCCCAGAGGGACAAACCCCCCTTTCTCACGCTGCTCCACTCCTGCTTCCAGACTGTGGTGAGTCAAAACTTCCACCAAAGTTGTGATTATTTTTAATGCATACTTTCTACACTTCTGCAGCACTGCACAGCCACACAAACAAATCTGACTTTATTAAAATGGTGCCTCTGTGTTCCCTCATCATTCTTTCAACAGCAACGATTCAATCCCTGGCATTTCACCCTTTCTACTTCCCTACAGTTATTGTCACTCTTTTTCCGGCGCTCCAGCAGAGAAAATTGATACTTAGCTGAGACCAGTCTTGAATATAAAGTATCCAGTATGACGTCAATTATGTGCGTAGACCATATGACTCAAGCAGCCTTTAATAAAGACTCTATTTACTGATCAATGCGTCCTGAGCTATAATGCAGGTGTATGAGCTGACTGAGGTTTCTGTCCTGAAAGAATGAATCAGCATTTTAGTATCTCGAGGACAGCCAGGTGTAAAGACATGATACATATAAACAGAGATTTCTAAACATGTTTTTTCTTTACAGAAAATCCTCCTATGTAATGCACTGATGGTTGGAGTGGGCACACTTTTTGTGTGGAATCGATTTCGAGCTGCTCTTTAGGCAATAACGTCTTTTTTTGTATTATCTAGGATCGGCTGTACTTTGTGATGGAGTACATCAACGGAGGAGACCTTATGTATCATATCCAACGTATGGGCAAATTCAAGGAGCCACAGGCAGTGTAAGGCAATCTGTAGTTCATTCACATGCATCTGTTTTAATAATGATCAAGTTAAACACCATGGCAGATAATATAAGCAAGCCTTGAGTTAGTGCTAATAAAGCAGCAGTATTTCACTGAAATGTTGGAGCTAAAATGTTTATATTATGTGGGAAAATAATGTATTTCTAAATTATTTAATGTTATTATAAGATAGTATTGTAAAAGAGATGGGTAATGACATGCAACAAAGGCACGTTCAAGTTGTTATGCTTTAACCCACATTTATTAGTTATTATTTTTAGTACAAAATATTATTTTTCTTGTATTCAGCAGAATTGCTTTCATGGCCCAAGAAAAGATGATGGAAGATAATTATTTTTCTCATTTCCGGTTCTGCAGGTTTTATGCTGCAGAGATTGCTGTGGGTTTGTTTTTCTTGCACCGAAAGGGAATCATCTACAGGTGGGTGAGTCAGAGAGAAATGTAATGTAATGGTGCACCACATTCACTCAAATCCCTTTATTGATACATAACAACATACACAGACTTTCTAGACAGATAGATGAGGTGAGTATAAGCAGATGAGTATGAGCAGAGTTTTTCTATTGTGTTGAGGGAGCAGAGGGTGACTAATGTAAGACAGAGAAGAAGAACAGTGAATTCAAATCTATAGGAAATGTTTTTGACTGTGAAGTGTGGAAAACAAGTTCAGACAAGCTGAATCTGAAGATATGGGAATTGAAGTAAGGCATAAGTAGTTTAGATATCAGCTCTGACAGAAAGACTGATGGGCAGAGTGAAGCAGGAGATAACAGAAAAGATGGAAACAAAGAAATGAAGAAAGGGTCAGATAAAAAACAGCAGGTCCTGAGAGAGATAGAACATGTAGTGAAGTAAAAAAATAGACGTGTAGATTTAACAATGCTGTGTGTTAATGCACAGCTTGGATATTCCTTTATAACTATACTAATTAAAAAATGAAAGAAAAAAAGAATAGGTCACCCAGTTCATCATCAGAACTTCAGCTTAGGAGTCACATCCATCTTTCATATCTTGCATCCTGACATTCACACTATGGTGAATTAAGGAGGGAAAGGAACATTTGAGACATGAAACATAAGCGCAGACACAGACCGAATAGTAAGAGCCCCGAAAAAACACACAGGGGGAAAAATAATTTCAGGCCAAGAAGTTATTGTTTGTTGTTTGTACTACTCGCTTGACTAGACAGCTGAACAATATACAACAAGAATCAAAGTGGTCATAAATCAAGCCAGAAATTAAGTAAGTTCACAAAGGCTCACGACCTGTCTCTGCTGCAGGGATCTGAAGCTCGACAACGTCATGCTGGACTCCGAGGGCCACATCAAAATCGCTGACTTCGGCATGTGTAAGGAGAACATGTATAATAGCATGACCACACGCACCTTCTGCGGCACCCCGGACTACATCGCACCGGAGGTGAGAAGGACAGGACTCTGATGGATTGATGCATTTGGTGTCACTGGGTCACATGACATGGAAGCTATTGAAAAATATTGAAATCATCTACTGTTAAAATATTGATGTAAAATCTACTCATGACTCATCAGTGATCCAAAAAGGTATGCAACACAAGAAATATGTATTGTGCTTTTTGTAGCATACTCCACAAATTTAGCAGAGAGTTGTTGAAAATAACTTTGGGTTTGTGTCAAACTGTACTTTTGTATGGTCTCTAAAGCGGAACCCTGTGATTACGAGAAGGACAGCGCTTATATCTACGGTATCTTAATATGGTCCCGTACAGTAGGCTGTCTATTCTCAGTAAGGCTCATTAAAAAAGTAATGACAACTAAACAAGCCTGTATTCATACACAGTAAAGAGATGAATCAAAAAGCAAAAAGAGGTGGTAGATGATGTATAAGAACATTTCTGTCCGTGTATATCCCCTCCCGACTGTCTGCACTGACTTATGAGGGGATGGAGGGAAGACCTTACTCGTGGTTTCTCACAGAACTCCAAATGGGTCTTTTTCCAGACTTTCTTGGCTCTAAATATAAATTGGAGACCGCTCAACAATCTTTTTTTACACATGACATTGAAGACTTTATAATTAATTCATGAGCCAGCCTGGTTTCAATGTATGGTATTATAGAACAAAATGTGTGCTCTTCTGACCTGGAAAGTGATTTAGAAGATAGAAAAACATCAGTATTGTCTGATTAGGTATCAGCAGAGAGACATGTGTTTAAATGGTAACCCTGTGAACTGGATAAATTGCTGCATTTCTGTCTCTCTTGAAGGCGAGTGCAGCTGTTATTTCGCTCTTTGCCTCTGCATCTGCATGGTTATTATTTTGTGTAGACTGTGTGTGGGAAGGAGGTGTAGGATGGCAAATTGGATGGTGGCAGAAAGAGCCTTTGTGATAGCGGCTTAAAATAGCTGACTGTATTTAATGGCAGATTTTGTAAGAGAGAACGCTTCACTGTTTCTCATGAGATCTTTAACTCTGTGTGAGGTGTGTAGCATTCGGCATCAGACATAAAGCCATCTTTTATTACTGAGCGTGATAATGACCAAACTTGTTTGAATACATAGATGTGGTAATGTGTGCTCATGTGTAATAACTCCAAGGTTTTAATCGTTTCACTTCTTGTCTCATACAGATTATAGCATACCAGCCTTATGCAAAATCAGTGGACTGGTGGGCTTATGGAGTTCTTCTGTATGAGATGCTGGCAGGACAGGTACAATGTTTTATACTGCACTGATACTGGTTTATATGTTTGTTTGTTTTTACTGTAAATTTGTATCATGAGACTGTCTCTTGTGTACATCCTGCTTCAGGGATATTAAACTGTGTGAGACGTGTCATCAAGATGAGAAACTACCTAAAATGGTCTGATCGGTGAAATGTTGAGACATTCACAGACAGTACATCCTACATTTCCAGTCAACAGAAGATATGTTTCTTACTGAAAACGAATGTCACATTGGAGCAGGATTCGCTTTTCTCTAAGAGAGTGAATCCAATCCAATAATTTATATAGCACAAACAACAGAGTTGACCAATATTTTATATGCATAAATACTGTGACGGGGTTCTATTTGTCCATTTGGAACATAGGCTCAGTCGGTTGAATTAAGCTCCAAAACTTTATTTATAACAGCAACAAAAAAAATATATATACTGTTTGATAAAAGTGAAACACTATAACTTAAATAAACAAAAGTTACCAAATTAGGTTGTCTATCACTCATGGAGTAAACACATTCTGGCTGTTGCCTTCACTGCAACAATCTCCTGAATGAATCTTCCAGGGCCAACACCGTCCCTTTTGAACCCATAGCCCCTCCCCACAGGCTTACCGTCAACAGGTTACACAATTAACTCCAAAACCACATTGTCAACATAAATGTAATCCCTCGAACATGAGGAAACCATCCTACCCAAACATACACAGGTTAACTACCTCTTAACACAATCATTCCCCTTAATTAATAAATGCAAAATAAATAATAAATTGCTTGGTTCATGACATTCTATTTAAATCACGGAAGTGATGCGCCTCCGTCTTTTCCACATTCCCTTTGCTGGGGAGACGGCGGCGAAACTCCGCCCGCCGCTCCCCACGTAAGTAGGCCTATCGTGTAACATAGTTTAAATGTGTGTTTAAATAATTGTGGACTCACAAGCGTGCACTTATGGTCGCGCTACAGAAAGGAAGGGGAAAAGGAGTGTGTTTGATAATTTAAGGTACGAACGGAAGAGAGCAGTGTGAAAAGGGTGTGTGTGGTGTGTGGTGTGTGTGTGTGTGTGTGTGTGTGGTGTGTGTGTGTGTGTTGTGTGTGTGTGGGTGTTGTGTGTGTGGGGTGTGGTGGGTGTCGGTGTGTGTTGGCCGTGGAGTCAGTCACTCTGTGATCCGCTCCGCACAAATACATTTAGACAAAACCGATTTAGGACAAAAAGAAACTAATGTAAAAGCACCAGAGAATAAAACCATACTTATACGCCACAGACTGAAAATCCCTCATAACATGATGTACATTTTTGTTTTAAACACACAAAATAGAAAATCCCAAATTTAGAAAACACAGACTGAATGCTGCAATAGAACCTTACAGCTGCCCAAATGCAATACATACAGAGAGCTAGATCATAGTTTTATGTTATTTATGCATTAATTGTACCTAAAATGTATCAAAGACATTACAAGAAAATAACTGTACGTTTATACCACCGCAAGGTTACAGCGCTCAGCTTCAACAGTGATTTCAGCTCGGTTCCTGTCAGGTTTCACAGAACAAGCCTCCAGCTGTTGCGCACATTTCCCATCTTTCTCTTCAGCGCCGGTTTGACGGAGAGGACGAAGACGAGCTCTTCCAGTCCATCATGGAGCAAAGTGGTCCTACCCCAAGTCCATGTCTAAAGAAGCTGTGTCCATCTGCAAGGGAGTAAGTATTGTGGTTAAAGTGCTGTAGGGGGGGTTATAGAGCATATTACATATTTGTGAAGAGTTAAAGGTCATTTTAACTGGAGATAAGTCACGCAACTGATTAAATACTGTTGATGCCATTAATTTGTTATTCAGTTTATGTTATTTCTTAAGAAGAAACATGCCTAGCCAACACATGTTGGGGTTCAGTTGACATGTAACCCATCTTCTGCACAAACAAAATACCTCGTTCCCTTTGTATTCACTGTAAGAAATGTTCAGCATTATTGGTCCTTTATTTAGCAGGCACCTGTTTCCTCTCACACCTAAGAACACATGGTTTGCTCATAACAGGAAGCGTCAAGACCATTTTTATTTAAGGAATGTGTTCTTCAAAGGTGTACACTCCAGAGATGATTCAATTAACATTCAAGCTCAGTCTG